CACAGTCTTTTCCCTCTTTTTGTTTGTAGTTGTCTTCACTGAAGCAGTAAATCTTTATGGAAGTAGATTACTAGGTATATTAGCTGTTTAGCTGTCTTATGGTGGCGCAGCGTCTAGGACATCTGATTGCTGACCAGAAGATCGGCTGTTCAAACCCACCAGCCACTTCTCAGAAGGAGGATGGGGCAACTTACTGCCATAAAGATTTACCACCTTGAAAACCCAACGAGGGTCGTGATGATTTGGAATGGACTCAATGGCAGTGGGTTATAGGTTGTAAATATTTTCTTCCAATTTGTCAACTGTCTTTTGACTTTGCTTTAATGTGTTTTTGCCTTAGAAAAAGTTTTGCAAAAATTTTTTTGTGGTTAGAGAAATATATTTTTTTCTTCATTGTGTCTGGATGGTTAGTAAGCCTTTCTTTTCACTCTGCTAGAGATTAATGCCTATTATTTATTGATAAAAAGGGTTGTTGGAAATGACTCAGTGGCAATGGGTTTGGTTTTATTGGTTTGGTTTATTGAGAGCTTGCCATTTAAAACAAACTGTGTTTAGGATTTTCATAGATTACCTTGTTTAATCATTGCAAGGGTTCTGTGAAGCAGGAAGCAGTGGCTTTAGAGCCAATTACTCTGTAGCTAATTTCTAGCATCACTAACTCCCACCTTTGTGATTTTGTGCATGGTATTTGTACTCTCTGAGTTCCAGTCTTATCATCTGCATGAAGAGGAGCATAACAGCATATACAGTATAGAATTGTTATGAGAATTAAGTCAGTTAATACCATCAAGGGGCTTTGAACAGTTCTTGACATATAGTTGGTGTTGAATAAAGGTTGACTATGAGTTAACATCAACTCCATAGCAGTGGTTTATTATTTTATTTTTATTTAATTGCTGGAATACCTGGGTGGCATTAACTGTTAAGTATTCAAGTACTACTTGAAAAGTTAGCATTTTGAACCCACCTAGAGGTGCCTTGGAAGAGAGGCCTGGTTATCTGCTCATGAAGGGTCACAGCCTTGACAATCCTATGGGGCAGTTCTACTCTGTAACACATGGGTCACCATGAGTCAGAATCGACGCAAGTGCAACTGATTTGTTTTCTTTGTTTATGTAATTGCTGTTGTACCATAATATTTCAGTTATAAAGATTATAACCCAACATACTTTGTTCAAATTAAGCAAAATTTTGTCAACACTTAATTTTTTTTTATTGTTCTTTTACCATAGGTCTTAAAGATCACCATGAAACATAATATCTTGTTTTTTACATATTTTTTCTTATGATCACTTAAGCAGATGCTCAGATCTAGGGCTTTTGGTAGAAAGGCTCAAGGAAAAAAGGGTTGGGACATGGCAGGAACAGATTAACTATAATTTAAAACCATTAATGCTTATGTTTTATTAGTCAAATATGAATAATTACAGCTATTGCTATTTCTAAAATGTGCTACTCGTAAGGTAAAATTTGTCTATTTCTACAGTGTACTGGGGATTGAATTCAACATTTTATAAACCATTTGGGTTGCCAGGCTCTACTTGACCATGCTGCAAAGCTCCTGCTGAGTGGCCTCACCTGCTTATAGCAGAATCCTGTAATTTTCAGAAAGAATTCTTGGCTATCAGAGCATCATTGACAAAGTCTTATGTTTGAAGTGCTTTTGGTTTCTGTTGTGTTTGCTTTTTAATGATAAATCATTGCTGTTTCAACTTCATTTTCAGCAAGTTAGTTTGTTGTGGGTTATTTGATTAACCCTATCACTTTTGGCCTATGATTTCTCAGTCACTGGACTTTGAGACCTATGTGCATTGCACTGCAAATATGAACCCTCCCTCCTCTGTTTCTAAAACAGCTACATAGCCTTTACTCCCTCTTCAATTTACTATTGTAGCAACACTTCATTACCAACACTAGTTCTTTTTTCAAATGGGCTGGGAATAAGTTTGATGGGCAGAACTGTTGATCTTTTTGGTTTACCTCAGTTGACCAGGGTCAAAAAATTTAAGTGCCATTGTCTTAAATTATGTAACAGATTTTCCTTCTATTGCTGATTTAAGAATAGAAAGTATTTTTACATTTTTATTTTGGCCTTAAACTTTAATTATGATCCACTAGATAGTATTTTTCTTAAGTAGCAAACAATTGTAGATGGCTAAACTGTGAAACCATTGTAGTGAACACGGGCTAAATAAAACACTACCCTTAATTTGTTTTTGAAGTGTCATCTATGCTATATGTTCTTTTTAATTTATTTATAAATTCCAATTTGGGGATATTGCAGTTCTTATTTTACGAATTCTGCTTGAAAAGTCCAGGTATTTTAAATCTCTCATAGAACTTACAGTAGAAAATAATCAATATTAGTTGCTGACTTAACATCTCCTTTTCTCTTCTCTGTTCTTTTTTCTTCAATACACACTCATGATTAGAAACTTTCATTCAGTACAAGTTGATTACATTGAGTGTCCATTTTTGTGTCTTCAGGTTACCAGAGAGAACTTCTTTATCAAAGGGAAGATGGCTCTTTCAGTGCTTTTGGGAACAATGACCCTTCTGGGAGCACTTGGTAAGAGTTTTTGCCAACTGAACAAATCCATGCCATGGATTAAGATTTCACTTCATCAAGATGACCATGACATTGATAGACATGTGGACTTGGATGTTGCTTTTCATTTAACCCCTAGTCTTGCTTTAAAAGAGATTTTGAACTATCTGTGTTTTTGGGTCCAAGAGAAGTATGCAATGCAATGGTATTTAGTAAGTATCTAGAAACATCCAAAGATGAATAACTTTGGCCAGTTTAACTCACAGATTCTCAATATATAAAATAAGAAGGCTAGATTAGTTGATTTCTAAATTCCTTTCCAAATCTGATTTTTTTTTTTTTGTGATTTGACCTGGAATTTCACGGCCACATACTCCCTAAGTGGAGTGTGTCTCTTTATGTTGCCTCTTCGCTGTCTTTTTTCCCTGTGTTCCTTCTTCAGTGATAGTGCATCTTGTGAATCTCCTGATGGGAAAAACATGGTGTTTTTCGTTTGTTCAGTGTTATTTGGAGGACTTCATATATATATATTTGCATCCATTTTATGTAATTTTTTTTTCCCTTTTCACTAAGGTTGTCAGCCTTTGTTTTAAGATGTTTCCTTGAAGCTGATCCTTACATAGATATTGATCAGAATGTATTACAAAGAACATATACTTGGCTCAAAGAACATCAGAAATCTAATGGTGAATTTTGGGAGCCAGGAAGAGTGATCCATAGTGAGCTTCAAGGTGGCAGTAAAAGTCCAGTAACACTTACAGCATATATTGTGACTTCTCTTCTGGGATATAAAAAGTATCAGGTATTTCATCTTTAATTTAATAAATGATGGGTAGAAATCAAAAGGAATATAGGTCTTGTTGGGCTCAATATATGTTTGGAAACTTACGAGTTTTGCAAATTTACCTCATATTTGAAATCTGAATTTGGGTGCCTTTTTCCTTTGTGTTATGGCCATATTCCAAAATTAGAAATATTACCTTACTACTTCAGAGTAACTACAATACTAAAGAATCCTTTCTAATATAAATGCTTTGTACTGGTTATTGATAAGTCAATATATAGTCTATCTTTAGAAAGGTACATTTTTTGGGGGGGAAAGAAAATTCTTTAGAATTTAAGAAGCTTCTCTAACAAGCTTAGGTTGTGAAGGAGAATTTTTTTTTAAATTAAAAAACTATGGAAATATGGAACAATGACAATGCCTGCTAATTTAATACAAAATACACTTTTTAAACTTTGAAGAACACTTTAAATGAGTGTGGGTGCCTGGATGCAAATGTGTGTACGTGGAAAGTGATACTAATGAGGTAATTTTGCTCAGAACTGTCTTAGAATGATGACTTTACTGCTGTTTTCATCCACATGATCCCAAATAAACATTCTTTTTATTAAGCTCCTACTGTTTTCCTAGTGAAGGAGCGCTGGTGGCACAGTGCCTGAGGCATTTGACTGCTAACCAGAAGGCTGGTGGTTCAAACTCACCAGCCACTCCATGGAAGGAAGATGGGGCAATCTACTTCCATAAAGATTTACTGCCTTGGAAAACCAATGGTAGTTGCTATGACTCAGAATCGATTCGATGGCATTGGGTTTGGTTTTGGTTTATTTTTCCAGCTAAGGAGCCCTGGCAGTATAGTAGTTAAAGCACCTGGCTGCTAATTGAAAGGTCTGTTGTTGGAACCTACCGTCCACTGTGGAAAATAGATGTGGTAGTCTGCTTCTGTAAATATTACAGCCTTGGAAACCCTATCTGACAGTGCTACTTTGTTCTGTAGTGTTGCTATGAGTCAAAATAGGCTAGACAACAATGGACATTGTCCTAGCTCAGTACTAGATATGTAGAAGATACATTTATTCCCTGAATTTAGAGGTTTAACACTTGGGACCAAATATAAGAAATATTTTTCTCAAGATATATTTTCAGCTGATTTGTGTTCATGATACTTGGTTAGAGAAATGCTGGCAGAAGCTTCAGTTCTTATTCCCTCTAAGGAATGATGTCTCTTATAAAAACTTTAAAGCAATGTTATTTTCACAAGGCATGGCAGACCTTTAAATGTCAATGATCATTATTGATTCCTATTGCCTAGGACAAGGAAAGGTGCTTAATAGACATTGAAATTATTTTTGAATGAATTTTTCAATGTACTTTTTATTTAAGTATGTGATAATAGGTTATTTTGAATAATAAAATACGTTTTTTTTCCCTAAGCCTAATATTGATGTGCAAGCGTCTATCAGCTTTTTGGAGTTGGAATTTAATAGAGGAATTCCAGACAATTACACGTTAGCTCTTGTAACTTACGCCCTGTCATCGGTGAGGAGTGCTCAAGCACAGGAAGCTTTGAATGTGCTAACTCAGAGAGCAGAACAAGAAGGTAATGTGTGGAGCTACTGAGACCTGTGGGAGGGTTAAACTATTTTATTCGTTATGAAATACATAAGTTATTGGGGAAAATTTTGTAAGCAAGAAATGAGTTGTTTAGATTTGCATTCTCTGAATGAGATGAAAAATGAAACATGGAACAAAACCCAGATGAGCCTGAGATGGCTATGCTACTTCGTCTCACTGAGTTTTCAAGGGAGTTTCAGGGTCCATTGGCTGCTTCTTTTACATGTGTTCTGACCTACTTCATTGCTTTCTGAATGCCTCACAATCCCATTTCTGGTTTGGAGACCTTGAATAGTCCCTAAAACCTTGGGTTCTGGAGAGACTTAGATATAAATTCTGGTTTTGCAACTTACCTTTATGAACTTCTGTTTCCCCAACAGGTTAAGTGGGAATATCATTCATTTTAGAGTTGCTGTGAGGATTAAATGGGAAATTGTGCACTGCCTACCCCATAGCAAATGTTCAAAAATATAAACTAAAATGTTAATTGATATGCAAATACCTAAAAATGCTTAGTTGGGTGGGTTGTGATTTTGTTTGTGTATTATTACTTTTTTTTTTTTAAATAAGGGACTGATTTGGGACTTTAACAGAACAATAAGTACAGCTGTGACTATTGCCCTAATGGCATCTATAAATTCAGGGATCCAGATTTTGTGTATGCACATGTATGTGTGCGTGTGTATGTGTGTTTGTGTGTGAGAGAGATATGGATGGGTAGAAATAATTTTAGGTGATTCTTACTGAATCAAAGAAGGGATGATTGTGGATAACTATTAATTCAAGAAGGGATAATTGCAGAACATTCTTATAGGTTTCTGAGCCTACATAAAATAATAGTATTATTATTAGCAGTAACTCAGATTGAATCCTTATCACTTATTCCTATGCAAGGGAAGTGTGATGGTTATGTTTGTATGTCAACTTGGCTAGGCCGGGTTGAGTGGCTGGGCAGCTGGATGTAGTATTCCCTATGATGAAACTGGTAATCAACTTCATGATGGAATCTACTGGGAGCAGCTAAGTAGCTGTCTTTGGGTGTGTGGTCTGCTTCCTGTATATAAGGAAAAGCTTTGAGAATGGTCTCTAGCCTTTAGCATGCTTGGACCCTGCATGTAGCTGTGTTGTTGCTCAGCAGCCTGCTATGCTCTGCTGACCTTGG